ATTGCATATCGATTCATAACATAAATCAGTGAAAAACATACTTTCACTATAATGTTGTTTTTTCGTATTTATTTCAACAACAAAAGTACTGACAAGTAAAAAAAAACAGAGCCAAAAAGCAAGGCTCTAAACAGAGCATAACCATAACCAAGACATTTGATTATTCATTATAAAAGAAATAAAATAGAGATTTTAAGATGAAAGCTAAAAAAGTTACGGGTGAAATTATAAAACAAACCGAAAAATGAAACCGATTAAAATAAACCAATAGTTGAATCAAATTCTCCACCGATATATGTAGATGGTCACAACTGCTAATTGATTACCTATTTGAGTTTCTGGTATATCACTTTCCACTTGAAAGTGACTGATGATCATCTTTGCTTTGAACTAGCCATGTAGGTTGGCTTAGCTTTCACATGCTGTTAAGAAAATATAGGTTGCAACATGAAAATAAGTTATTCGAAATGATAGGTGGATTCACAAAAGTGTGAAGGTCTAAACCATTCTCTAGAGAGAAGTTATGTTTTTGATGCATCTGAACGGTCTAAAATCTTGCAGATTCACATCTGACGTATTGCTACTCGGGGACATCATGAACTTCAAATTAGAGTGAGATCAAAGAACAAGTTTCAAATGGAGCGTTACAAGCCACCAAAGGCTATCTTCTTGTAGTCAACCATGAGAAATTCTTTGAACCACAGGTCCCTCCTCGAGACAGAATCACTATGCTTTTGCCGTATGAATGCCTTAAGCAGGGTGACAATAGGAGACTTTTGCAGAGCCTCAAAATAAATATTTCACAAACTAATTGAAGAATCCGATCTAGTAAAATGAAAATGCCAATAGAGCTTGTTTGTGGAAGACGAAACAGAGACTTTACATACCAAAATTGCTAGTTATAGAGCTTGTTTGTGGAAGAAGAAACAGACTTTTCATATTAAATTGTTCGTCATAGAGCTTGCTTGTGGAAGAAGAAACAGTTATTTGTACAAAGTCACTTCCTAAGAGAAAAACTAGTTTAGATGCGAAATTTGCAAACAACCAGAAGTGTTTGAGTTTATAGCAATAATAGAGAATAGTGAACACTCCCTCTTTACGCATGATTGCATTTGAACTCCCTCTCCACAAAATTTGTGAATCTCCTCATGTAAGCGTTTGGATGCAGGACCGTAGGCTCTTGATTGTTACAAGTAAGACTCATAACGCAACTTTTTGCAAACCACTCGAACTTCTTTAAAGCGCTATAAGGCACTAAGTAGTCGATTATTCCACACACAAGTTCATGGTTCGTTTTGTCAACTCCAACTAAGAGTGAGTAATCCATAATATTGACCTCCTACATTGTTATATTGAAAAGATTAGATTATTAATAATATAAACTACTGCACCTTGATAAAGTGCTCAAGAGGTTAAACTAATAATATAAACTAGATTAAAGTAATAACATAAACTATTGCACTTTAACAAGTTCAAGAGATTAGAAAGCTCACTTTTAGGAAATTTGCATCTCTGTTTACGGCAGCTTGTAGGGTTTCCTTAGAAGGTTGACTTATGTATAGAGCTTCGTTCTTGACATCCTCCATGAACTCTTCTTCGATTCGAACATGAGTTGCATCACTAAGGTTGAGATTCCTCTCCAACTTTCCTTTCAAGTCATACAAAACTTCTATGTCTTTGCCGTATAGTACATTCTCCATTACTAGCACGTATTGTTTTCTTAATTCATCCCTCACCTGCAACAAAAAGAGTTAAAGTCCAACAAAAAAAAAACTAACAACTAAAACAAAGATGGAGTTATAATCAAACAAAGAAGCCATACCTCATAGAACCCAAAGATTTTCGCAAGACAAGTCTCATTTGTAGACTTTATGTAGTCAAAGTATTTGGGAGCAATGTTATCCACAAAGGAGTTATACTCCATCGCACTAATCTCCTTTAAGATAAACCTATTGTCACGAGTTTTAGCAAAACTGGCACCACTCTTCCCACCCTTAGCTTTCCAAGCCGTATCAAGCGATTTTAGTGAGTTAAGAAAACTAATCTCGGCTAAGTTGCAAAAAGATCTGAGATCGGCAAACTCGTTTGCATATGCTTCTGTTTCGATAAGTTGAACATTGAAAAGTGCTGATGTATCTTGTTCGTCGTTTCCCGATGATGGAACACCAACTACATCTTCACAAGGGTTCACCTTCATTGGTGGCATTGCTAGTTTGAAATCCACAGTACCCGAAGAGCTTGACTCCATGGTTAGATCCTAAAAAATATGCAGTCAAGAGACGATTATGCTCAAAACATAAACCAGTCATGCACTAACTAGGATCACAATCTTAAGAGGTGACTTCTTACTCAAGAAACAATATCTCAGTCGTTCAACTCCAGAAAACTTGCAGAAGAAGATGATTATTTGTCCACTTTCACTATCTTCTTGCCTCTGTTTCCGCAGAATTTTACAAAAACGCTCAAGTAGAAGCCGTAATCCCTAACTGTTTCAACAAAATGTGCAATCAGAACACTAGTTATGCTCAAAACAAAACCAATCATCCACGAACCATGGTCACAGGTGATTGATTACTCAAGAAACAATGTCACAGTCCAGAAAAATTGCAGAAGAAGATGATTGATTCTCTCTGACTACTTTCACTATCAAGAAACTCAATTGTTCCAGAAAAAGATATGATTCTCTGTCTACTTTCACTATCTCCTTACCTCTGATTCCACAAAGTTTCTGTACCAAAAAAACTCAATCACAATCCCTAATTTTCTACGATTTCAACCCTAATTCGATTTTCAGAGGCTCCAAGGTAAAGATTGAAGAGGAACGAGAACAAGATTTTCCAAGATTAGTGAACTTACGGTGAATTGTTCATACTCTGAAAACAAGATCTC